GTTGTGGCCCTTTCTGTTAATGCAGTTGACATCTGTGCTCACCCACACAACCCGGTTTTCCACCTCTTTTGAGGTGCAGGCGAGGACAACAGATCCCTTGGAGAATGCAATATGTATTACAGTTCTACCAGGTGCCTGCATAATCCTCACAACCACCCTGCAAAGTCACATCATCACCCCCAGTTTGTTGATGAAGCCCAGCTCAGAGATGGGCAGCCATTTAGTGAAGATCACACAGCTGCCGAGTCTTGGGGCTGGGAGGTGAACTCAGGTCTGACTCGGGTCTAAAGCTCTTTTTAAGGATGAGGAAGGCAAGACTTTCACAATGTCTTATGAAGGCAAAAGCAATGGCTTCCCCGGGGTGCTCTTCATTCTTCCTGCATGGAGAGGCTCAAGGCAAACCCTGCGTGCCATGAAACCTGGGCATAGAACCTGTTGGCAGTCTAGTGTGTGTCCTTGGAGACAAGGTATTCCCTGCCATGCTGATGGTGAGAATAGTAACAACAATAACTTCCAGAGTATTAATAACAAGCCAGGCAAGATGCCAGGTCATTTGGGGCACCTTATCTCAAGTCCTTATATGAATACTTGCCCCCAGCAGAATAAGTCCCATTTCACAGAGGAGGATCAGCTAGGTGCCAGGGCCATGTGGTCTCTAAGCCTGGCTCTAATGGACAGGGCAGGAGAGAGTTGACAGTCACCAGTCATATACCCAGAGGAGATCCTCCCAGCCTGCTTCCCCCACTCAAGAAAAATAGGGCAAACAAATGAGGCCACACCAGCCCAATACCCAGGGAGTCAAGGGTGAGCCAGGAGTCACTGTGAATAATGCCTCCGTTCAGCAGCAGGGGACTGCAGTCTCAGGAAGGCCTGTGCTTACCCGCTTGCACACAGCCAAGGTGCTGGGTTAAATGGTGAGATGCCCTCCAAAGGCCCAGAGGATCCCCAGACTTGGGCTGCCAGGGTGAGCCCTTTGGTTTCAGTCCCCAGAGACAGCACCATGAAAGCCTTTTTGTAAGGCAATGTCCTGGCTCCTCCTCTCAAGCAGATAGTTTCCAGGACAGGCCCTCTGCAGTCCGGAGTGAGTCTGCTGGGGTGAGATGGGGGGCTCGCTGGCTGGGGTACACACTGGGGAAGGAGTGCTGCTGGAGAGTGGCACCCTGCAGGAGAGCCTATGGGAAGCCTTCCAGGCTGGGAGAAGCAGCAGCCAGAGAAGGCCAGAGCCTGACTGCTCTCCCCCTGGGCCACACCCGAACTTGGGAGCTGGATGGTGAGGGTGGGGGGAGAGGTGAGCCTCCCAGGAAGGTCTTTCCCAGGGTAAACACTTCCAAGGAAAGGAATGTGTAGGGAAGAGCCGTTGGGCAACGGGAGCTGCAGCCAGCTGGGGGAAATTTTTTAAAAACTCACTCCAGGACTCACCCCAGGGCTTTTTGTGAAATTCAATCAAAGCCTCGATGCTCCCCTTCTGCCAAGGAGGGCACATCCTACCTGGAGAGGCGAGCCCACAGGGCCCCCGGCGGGCCCGACGGAGCCCTGGAAGTCTGTGCAGCGGAGAGGCTCTGCCGCCTGGGCAGGCCTTGCGGGCGGAAGGGCGCCACGGCCTCGCCGCCGAGGTAAGAGCGCAGCCCGGGCTGGAGCTCCGTGTCTCGCCGCGCACAAAGGCGCCGGCTCGCGCCCCAGTAGGTCTTGGGTCGTCAGACCTGGGAGCTGTCTTACAAGCGATTAGACTCCATTTTGTGACAGATTTTTGGACTCTCCCACCGACCCTCCCCCCTTCCGGAGCCTCCTCCAGGAATTCGCCACCTCCTCAGGATAAAAACCCTTTCCAGACGAGCGACAGACGGCAAGAAAAGAGAGTTACATAATTCTATTTGGCCAAGCCGCCAAGGAAAAAAACAGGGCGGGTGGGGGGGAACGTGCCTTATTTTTCATTTGTTCTCTGGTGGAGGACGGGGAGAGGTGTTCCTGATTTGCAGGACGCTGCGTTTCCTCTCGTTTCTTAACCGGTTTTCTGTCCGAAAAGGTTTTTTTTTTTTTTTTTAAATGAGCCCCCAAAAATCACACATGGGGAAAAAGGACACTTTCGGAGTTAAGAATGAAAATGCCCAAACTCCGCGGCTGACCTCTGCTGTGCTCTGCCTACCAAGGATATACAAGAGGATTTTATCAAATTCGGCTCAATGTGCCCCAGTGTCAATTAATCACCCCCGTGGTGCGTAAAAGAACTTGGCACTTCTGGGTGTCCCGGATCTTGGAGAACAAATCGAAAGGAGGAAGAAACGCATACGAAAAACGGCAACTTCTTTTTAAGGATGGAGCCCTGCAACTCAATCAGGGTTGAGGACATATTTTTCAAAAGTTGTGTTTGGTGCGGGGATTGTTAATTTCCCAATGCCGCTGAGGCACAGACTCGACAAAATCAAGAAGGCACGTTTCTGTGCCCGCTTGCCTGGATTCTCGTCTGAAAATCATTTACACACAGATGAAATAAATATGCATCTGCGAATCTCAAAGAAAAGAAATGTGAATTAAAAAAATTATTGTGCAAAGAATATCCCTTTCCAGGGAGCCGCTGTCTGCCTGGAGTGGTGCTCCATCTCCCTGCAAAATGACTCCCTGGGTATTTGTCCCAGGACTGTCTTGATAACAACCACCCCACACCTCACCCCTAGCACATCCTGCTGGCCTAACGAAGATACCCAATTGGGACTATTGGGAAAAACGGGGTGAGAGTGGAGAAGTGAACTGCTGGAAATAATGCACTACCCGCCCCAGGCTTCAGCCCCGAAGGACCCAGACTGAGTGAGGTCTGGGGACCTGAGATTCGCCCTGTGCCAAAAATCATTCCTAACACAAGGGATTGCACTGAAGAAGCCGGCTCTTAGGTGACTTTTTCCTTTTCTTTTAAAAACAAATATACTTTGGACAAAGCAGTCACAAATGTTTAACGTTTGTTTTGTAAGATGAGGGGGTGAGCTGCTCATCTCTAAGGCAACATCCAGCTGAAATTTTGTGACTTTACCATTCTGTGCCTGAAGAACTGGAAGCATCCTTTCTTCTTTTTAAAGAGAAGTTCCATAAATGATTATGGGGTTGGGGGAGGCAGAATATGTACAAGCGATTGGTAAAAATCTTTTCAATATATTAAAAGTAGTTTTTGTTTTTTCAAACCGTGCAAATGATTCGGAGGCCCCTTTCTCGTTTTCCCGGCCCCCTTCCCCTGCGTGTGTCGCCAAGGTTGGTGACTGAGCTGGGTGGTGAGTGGCACTGCCAGAGCTCAGAGGTTAGGCCAGCAGAGACCAGGGGTGCAGGGCTGGTGGGAGGGGGCTGGAAGCTGGTGCACTCTACAGAGGCCAGCCCAGAGCCCACAACCACATCTACCCCAATCTAATTTCCCATTCTATTTGTGCTGCTATATGCTTGGGCTGTGGCTGAGCTGACTGGCGGTATTTCCGTCTCCCAGAACTAGAATCAAATTAGTCCAGAGCACAGCACAAAGCCGACCGACGGCCGCATGCCTGAATCTGGGGTGCTTCCTCCTGAGAAGAAGGCCTCACCTGCACTCTGGGACCAGCAAAACAGCTGACCCTCTGAATGAACTCCAATCCCTACCCAAAGATCCCTCAGCTGAAAGAAAAAGCTAAGAGCAAAAAGCAGCTCCGGCTCAGCCCCTAGACCACCGGGCACAGCCAGAGCCTTTTGGGGTAAAACCTGATGCCCTCTCTAGGGCTCTGGCCTGCACTATTTCCAGGCCTCAGTTAAACAGTTCAGCTGTGCTGCTTTCCATTAGGCCCTGGATTTTGGGACAATCCCTGGGCAGAGCAGGTAGGGTGCACTCACCATGAGGCGCCAGCAGCCCAGCTTTTCTTTCCCTGGAGACTTGGGCATACACAGCCCTCTCTGAGCACCAAACAACCAAAGCAGCCTACCCACTCTGCAGACTCATCCAGGACGGTTTTCTGGTGTCACTAAAAAGTTTTCACAGGCATCCACTTGACTCTGCAATGGGCTTTGGGGATCCCCGCACCCCTCACTGCCTCCCTCCCAATTGCACTGCCAGGCACAAAATCCAGCAGGTCAAAAGAAAAAGCCTGCATGTACTGTTGTTATCTGTCCCCAGCCCCGGCTATACAAATCGTCTCAGCTAAAAACTAGTTAGCAAGAAGGGCTCAACCCAGGTCTCTGGTCTCAGCGCTGAGGTTTGGGTTATACCAGGGCAAAGCGGGCCGTTCCCCTCCTCAGTATACACTACTAGAAAGGAGACCTTCTGGGGAGGGCTAACTCTGTCAGCTCCTCACTCCCACTGGGAGCTCCAGAGTGTAGCTTGCCACCTTTTGAGGTCCTCTTCCTGGAATTCTTCTCCAACCCAGAAAAACTGCGAGTGCAAAATTCCCGCATGGAACGGTTTGGGGAATATGGACACTCTTTTCTCTCCACCAGGGACTAAAAGTGCAGCAGGGAGCCTGGCAGAAAGGGGGCCTCCCTTGCTGCTCAGGCCGTTCAGTGGCCAGCACTCTACCTCCTGGCTTCTGGCTCCCGGCTCCCGGCTCCAGGAATCCCAAACCCCCACACACCAGGGCCTTGAAGCAGTCCACCAGGTCTGGCTCCCTAAAGCACTGTTTTCCTTTGGAAATAAATTTTGTGTTCCCAATTCTGGCCTCCGTAGGGCCAGACCCTATCCCAAGACCCAGGCACCAAATTCCTCAGCCGGCCCAGGGCCTTGTCCTGCACCCCAATTCAGCGGCCCAGAGCAGGATTCCGGGACAACGGGTGGCAACTGGAGGCCATCTGGAGGTTCCCTGGACCCCATCAATGCCGGCTGGGCTGGGCTGGGCTGCTCCACCCCAGCCCCAAGACGCGCAGCTCTCGGAGCCCTCAGAGCTGCCCGGCCCAGCCGCGCACAGAGCCGGCGGCAGAGCTGGGTTGGGCCGGGCCCGGCAGGGGGCTGGCTGGGCTCGAGTGCCGGGTGGTGGCGGGGAAGGAGGACGAGAAGCGCTTACTGTTGGTAGTCTTGTTTGCAGTACAGTTTCCGATCCCGGAAGTAGCAGCTGGTGGTGAGGGCTTGCTGACACGCCGCGCACTGCAAACACTCCTCGTGCCAGGACGACTCGTTGACTCGCATCAGGAAGCGGTCGGAGATGGGCCGCTGGCAGCCCTCACAGACGGCGGGATGCGGGCAGTCGGAGCCTGCAGCGCACAGGGCAAAAGCACGGCAGTCAGCACCGCCCGGCCCAGTTCCGGCGTCCCAGTCGCACAGGGCCCACAGTCCCCGGCCCCGAAGGCTCGGGACGCCCGGGATCACCGCCCGCCGCCTGCGCTCCCCCGACCGCCGCGCCAGGGGCCGGGCGGCCCCAGCTAGTCGGTCCCAGTCCGCAGGCTCCGGCGTGGAGAGGCCACGGGCCTCGAGCCTCGGCTCCGCGCTGCGCTCTCCCAGTCTCCGGAGAATCCGCGTTCGGTGTTAAGACAAATGAGAACGAGCATGGCGCAGGGTGGCCGGCTAGGACCAAGACAGGCGAGCTGAGGCTGGGGCACTCGCTGGCTGACACGCCCCATGGCAGCGTTCCTGGTCTTCTGTCCCCCATCTCCCCAAGATCTGTGGTTTGAGTGACCCGGGAGACGTTTTTCTCTTAGAAGCTCCCTCACCCCAGGTCACCCGGCGCCTTTCCCAAGCTCGCCAAGGTGACTGCTGGGTCTTCCATCACCCCTGCCACCCGCCACCTACGCCGCAGGAGTGGCAGCTCTAGAACCTAGGCCTGAAAGGATGGTGGGTGGCGACTGGAGCTATCCTGTCTCTTTAGGACGCCCGCCCGAGGCGTGCTTGCGGCCCTCTGGTGATCACTCCAGGCGTCCTGTCTCTCCCTCCATCCCAACGTCCTGCAAACCCATTTCCTTTATCCGTTGGCCCGGACGTCCGTGTCCACAGCCGGACGACGCCCCTGTCCCAAGCCCGAGACCACTCCGGCGTTCCGATCCCGCACTCACCCAGCAGCACCCCCAGAGTGGCGGGTCCGGGGCGCAGGGCGTGCTCCTCCATCTTGATGCCGTCCAACATCTTGGCGCAGTCAGTCTGCCCGCGAGGGAAGCACCTCTCCAGCGACTCGGGACCTGTTGCTATATCCATGGGACGCGGGGCGCGCTGCGGACCCCGCCGGCCCGGCTGCTCGCCTGCCGGCCCGTCCGCCCGCTCTCCGCCGCCGCGGCCCTGGAGCCGGGGAGGCGCGACCCCCGCGGGGCAGGGGCTGCCGCGGCCCCCGGCGAGCGTGGAGAGGCGGCGCGCTGGCCCCGGGCCCCGGCGTCTTGCGGGCGGGCCGGGGCGGCTGCAGCCCGCTCCGCGCTCTCCCGGGCACTCTCAGCCACGCGCGCCGGCTCCTCTGTCACCTGCTTGTCAGTCCCGGAGCCCAGCGGCGGCAGCGGCGGCGGCTGCAGACGGAGCCGCGGGGAGGAGGCGGGCGGCAACGGCGGCGGCGGGCGGGGGAGGGGGTGGGGGCGCAGGGTCGGCCCCGCGGGCCGGGGTGGGGGCGGTGCGCGGCGCAGCGGGGTCCCGGGCGGGGCGCAGCGGGCCGCGGGGCTCCGGGCGCGCTCCCCGCGCTACTCCAGTGCCATGGTGCGCCCGCGGAGCCGCCGGGTTTAGAGCTGGGGCTGGCGGCGGAGGGATACGGGCCGCCTCACCTCCCGAAACTTCCTGACATTTGAACCCCGCGGCCCGTATCCCTGCGCCGGGATGCGCCGCCGGCTCCACGTCAAATAGTGCCGTCCCGCCCCCCCTCCCGCGTCCGGGCGCCCCGCGCCGCTCCTGGCCCCGCGCGCGGGCCCCAGCGCTCCGGCCCGGCCGGCCGCCCCGCGGGCCCCTTGCAGAAGTTAGGGTCGCCTTCGAAACAAATCCCTCTGCTCCACCCGCTTGAAAAATTGATTTGGGAGTTGGGGAGCGAAGGCTTTTTCTTTTCTCCCCTGCCTTCTTTATTATTAATATTTTGTAAAGCTGCAGCGCTACGAGGAGTGGCCCGAGCGAGGCCAGGCTGCGCGGACCGCGGGGAGCGCGGCGGCTCCGCCCGGGGACGGCGCCGGCCCTGAGTGGCTGCCCGGGGACCCCCGACTGTCGGCCGAGGTAGGTCGCGGGGGCTGAGTCGGCGTCCCCCGGGCGGCGGCGCCTGCTCGGGGTGGATTGGTCCGCGGAGAGGGCCGGCTCCCGGGATCGACGGACCGGGACGGGCAGAAGGCGAGGACTGCTGCCCCTGGACTCGCCCAAGGGGGACCCAGGCCCAGGAACCGGGAGTGGGCCCGGAGTGTGGGTGAGGGGTCCGGGAAAACTCCGAGCCTGGCAGAGATTGGGCGGAGGACTGAGCCCAAGGGAGGTTGGGGCCCCCGGGATCGAGAATGGGGGGCATTGGGCGACAAGGAAGGTCAGGGACGGGTTCAGGCAACTGAGAGTTTAGAGGACAACTAAGGCTGGAAAAGGGCCCCCCGGGCGGGAGCGGGAGCGATAGGCAAGAGCGGGGCCTTCTAGGGTTTGCAGCGAGGGGCTCAGGGAGGGAGCGGTGGCCCCAAGGTAGCGGCTCCAAAGAAATTGGGTTGGCTGCCAAGATTGGCGCCCTTTGGCGTCCCGGGTACCCGGCCCGGGGTCGCTGGGCCGCGCGGATCAAGGACAGTGCCCTGGCCGACCTGGGCAAAGTGGGCCTCGGCACCGGGAAGCGAAAGGCCGGCGAGATGGAGCTGCTGACTCCCGCGCTAGCCGGGCCTGGCACCAGCGTCCAGTGCTAAAGGCCACTGCGTCGGGCCGGCTGTCTGCGGCCTCTGGGTCCCCACCGACGCGCTGCTCACCGGGGAGCATGGGGGGCGGGTGAGGCCCGGGGCAGCAGCGGGCTGACCCTCGCGATCCGCTGCGGGGCGGCCCCGGCTCCTCCCGGAGCGAGGCAGCGGCGCGGAGCCAGGCGGGGGCGGAGGGCATGGGGGGCGGGTCCCCTGACCTCGCTGGAGGCTAGAGGGCGGATCGGATTTGGAACCTACGGGAGGCTTGGTCAGAAGTGGCCCCCTGCGCCGCGGGGCCCCTCGAAGGGGCCGGGCTTTGTGGAGGATTGGAGGCTCCCGCCCCATCCCAGTACCTGCGAATGTGTCGGTGGGTATCTGTGTGTGTCTGTGCGTGTCAGGCCCCCGCCTCTGCGGCTTCTCCGTGTGCACCTTGGCTCTGCACACACAGTATGAGTGTCCCTGCAAGCTTCCAGACTCCCAGGGCGTGAATCTGTGGATCTGTGTCTGAGCCCCCTGCACCCGTGTGTGTATGAATGTGCGGGTCCTTAGTGCCTCTGTGTCTGGCGTGTGTGTCTGCATCACTCTGTACGGGTGCCTAAGTCTTTGTGCTTGTCTTAACCTCTGTATTGTGTCTGCGATCCTTTTCAGTATGGGTGTCTGTGTCACCTTTGTGTGTCTGCGTATCTCCGGGTGTATGCTTCTGTGTGCTCGCGGGTCTCCCAGCGTCTGTGTTTGTGTGTGTTGGAAGGCGGGGGCTTTGTGCTTCCATGTATTTCTAAAGGCGCCTTTGTGTGTTTAGGTCGGGGAGAGTGGACGAGTAAATGTGGAGTTTCTCTCCCACATCTTGATCACTTCTTTGCTTAACCTGGAAACCCCAGGCCTTGACCCGCGAAGTTGGGCCTGGGCCTGGGCGGTCTTCTCTCGGCATCTGGGGCGCTGGCGCGGCTGCTGCAGGGAGAAGCCAGGCGGGCAAAGTCTTCTGCGCGCAGAGCCAGAGCCCAGAGGCGCGGAGCCCGGCTCGGGGCCGGCGGGCGGACCAGGCACATTCTGCCCTCTGCTGGCTGCTGTGCGTCCCTGCAACCGGGGCTGGGCGACTGCCTGCAGGCGAGAGTCCTCGTTCCAAGCTCAGACCCTCGCCCTCTCCTTCAGGGTGCACAGGGGAATCCTCTCCCATCACAGGCCCTAAACCCCCAGCTTCTGGCACAGGGCTCCATCCCCTCCCCCTGTTTTCCGCTCCCCACCTTTCCTGTGCCTGACCCCTTCTACTCCACACCACTCCTTCCCTCCCCCCTTTACCCCTCCTCCCCCGCCTTGGCTGAATGAGGGCCTCTTTAGCCCGGCCTACGAGGCTTCCCTGACTCTTGGGTTGGCGTCCAGGGCCGATCCGGGGCTGCTGGCTGTGCCCAGAGGTGCATTTCTCGGGCCACTGAAAGGCTGGGTCTCTGGGCAGGAGGATTTGTGGGCAGTCACCTCTCCGTGCCGTGGCTGGTCTGTCTTGGGGAGTGTGGATTCTCAGCGCTTCTCCCGCGATCCTGCCAGAGTCATATCACACGCCACCAAGGTGGATATGGGGCGGGCTACCGCGAAACCGGCCGCTCCCGGGAAGGGGTGCTAGCTTGGTGGACGCCAGAGCCTGGCTGCCTTCTCTGGTTTGGGGTGGGGCTGCTGAGTCCACACCCCTTGGGCCCCTCTCAGTGTCTTCCCCTGCTGTCCATTCATTCCCCCGTGTACACACACACACACACACACACACACCCTATAGGCCTTGTTCCTTGCCCTTTGTCCTCACTCCTCGGTTCCAGTGCTCCCAGCTGAGTTGGCTGGTCTGGAGTCCTTCGCACGTAGACGCGCAGAGGCCCCAGGTTTCTCCAGGACAATCAGGGCTCCCGTGCCTCTCCACTGCTTCCCTTGCTGGAGAAGCGGCCGACTGGACGGCACAGCAGGGGCCAAGGCCCAGAGCCGGCTCCTGCCCGCAGGCAGTGAGCAGTGCTTTGCTCCACCAGGGCCCTGCGGGTACGATTCCGGACCAACGGATTTCCCCTGGTGCCTCCGGCCCACGTCGCGGGAACCGCTCGCTCCTCGCCAGTGGATACGGGATGCTCTGCCGCTCAGATTTTAGCGGCAGAAACGACCTCGGATTCTCTCTACCTGGGGAAAGATGAATTCTGCGGCTCGGTATCGCTAGAAGAAGGGAGAATGAAAAGGGAGGCTCCGGGACGGGGGTTCCGGCTCCTTCCAGTCTGCGGACGTCCCAGCTCCATTGAGCCCTGCCCTAGCCCCCCTTGCTTCTCTTCTTACGGCCGTGCACCCTCTCCTCTGCGCCACCCGCCTCCCGCGACCAGGGTCCTCTGAGCTGCCCCCCCCCACCCCACCCAGCCCTGTCCATCCCGCCCTGGGCTGTCTGGACCATTTTGTGCTTCTGACCAGAGCCGGAGCTGCACTGCCCGCTCCCTGTTTGCCACCCCAGCTGGAGGCGCGGATCTGGGGCAGCGCAAGGGCAGTCCAGGCTGGGTGAGAAGGAGCTAGAAGCCGAGGACCAGGACCTGTGAGCGTCTGTATTTACTCTGCGGGGAGAGCCAGGGCTGTGGAGAGTCTGGGCCGTCTCACGTCGCCCCGCCGCCATCGGCACTGCGGAGTCTCAGATGCACAAGAGGCGGCCAGACTGGGTGAACCAGAGCCGTCCCAAGACGTGGGGCTGGGTTGGGGGTTGATATTCCTGGGAGGTGGCCTCGGGTCTACGGTCCTGGGAGAACCATACAGACTCAGGAAGTGGAGCAGCAACACCCAGAGACAGAGTGCTGGAAACTTGCCAGCCAGCAGTGACCATGTTCCCTTTCTTGGACCCCAGTGGACTGGACTGCAGGGCACATGGGCCAAAGGGTTGGGCCCCTTCTCAGCTAGAGATGGCCGTGTGTAATCATCACAGAGTAACCCTTGCCGCAGCACAGTGCAAGTGTCTGTGGTCTTGCTGTGCGGGTGGAAGACCTCACAGCGACCTTGAACCCAGGTGGAGGTCCATGCAGAGGAGTGAGGGGATGGGGCCCAGCTGGGATCCTTTGAATCAGAGCTGGGAACTGGTTGTCTCTCCCATTGGGGTTTTTGAGCCTGATGGGAGAGGAGTGGTGGGGAGACAGGATTTGAAGGAGAATTTGCTGGTGAGGCAGAGTGCGGAGTCTGAGGCTGCATACAAGCATGTGTGTCTGTGTGTAGTAGGGAGACAACCAGCCCCAGTGAACCCCCTCAGTCCTTCCTGCAGCTCCCCCCCCCCCAGGGGGTGGGGGCTCTGGCCACAGACCCATGACTTTCCAGCACAAGGTCTGGGTCATTAGTCATGAGATTCCTCCACGGTGGGTCAGGAGACTGACTCCCTCAGAGCCCAGGCTGCTGTCAGCCCTGGGGACTGGAGCTCTGAGAGACTGCGCCCTGGCCGGGTGGTGCAGTGCTGAGGTCCCGAGGTGGCTCAGAGTGGTCAAGAGCAGGTCTTGAGGAGCCACCCAGATCTGGTTCAGGATCTGGCTGTGGGACCTCAGGGAGGTCCTGCCCTACTCTCTGCACCTCAGCTTCTTCATCTGTCCCACAGGGTTGTAGAGAGGCTGAAATGTAAGTGCTTACCACAGCACCCAGCACCCACCAGGGCTGTGTACATCTTTGGTAAATAACGGATGGGAGGGGGGCCTTGCTATCAAGACTTGGGGAAATCACAGCTGCCGCCGCCGCCGCCGCCGCCTCCTCCTCCTCCTCCTCCTCCTCCTCCTCCTCCTCCTCCTCCTCCTTCTCCTCCTCCACCCAGGGCTTGAGGGCACACAGACCCCCTGGGCTTACCTGTGTATCTTCCTCCAGGGCAGGTGAAGCTCAGCTCCAGGCAGCTGTGGGCTGGGCATGGGAGACCTCCAGGT